TTGGACATGGTTTTAAATACTGTTGTGCCTGCGATACAGTCAAAGTTCCCGCCGCAGACTGGTGTTATAATCCAACAAGATAATGCCAGCCCCCACAAGTGCTTGACAACAAGTATGCTGAAGTCGCGAAGTATCAACGGAATTGAAGTGAAGAATCAGCCGCCGAATAGTCCAGATTTTAATGTTTTAGACTTAGGATAATTTAACTCCATTCAAAGCCTGCAGTATCAAAAGTGCACTCGAACGATCGAGGATCATATTGATGCTGTAGAAACCTCGTTTTATGAGTTGCCTGTGGATACGGTGTCAAAAACTTTCATTACACTTCAAAAGGTGATGGAGAAATGCATCGACATACATGGAAGCAACGAATATAAGCTCCCTCATATGAAGAAGGACGCACTGATCTCAGACTTCACGTCCTTCAACGTTGAGTGTGATGCCTATACATACGAGAGTGCTTTGATCCACTTGAACTATCGACTGGGCGAGGAAGCGTCCATGGAGGCACAAGTGAATTCCCAAGAACAAGCTGTTGTGACAAATTAATAAAATGTCATTGTATTTTTGGCCTTGCATATACGTTTCTGGAGTTACATTCAAATATCAAGCTGTTTCGAATTGGTCTCTCATAATTTAATCAAGTCAAAATGAACCTAATAACTATTTTGGACCAGAGTAGTACTACAGAGAACCGAGTAGAAACTCGCGCACAGTGGTACAACCACAGTATATGGAATAAAGCATTCCAGTCAAGACAGTTGCCATACAAAATTTAATAAAACTCTGCACTTCAAGGATCATGCACGAGATATTCATAGGTTGAATTTTAGCCACTGACAATTTGTCCCTGACTGGGATTGAACTCGGGACCAATTGACATGACTGGTACGCTTGTTTTGCATTGATATTCAATCCGAGGATACCTCCGCGATGTAATCATGGTACTTAGGGTACGACGGCGAAATGCCGGTTGACCTAGGCTAGTAGCACTTAGAGTGTGAGGGGTGAAGGAGAAGCAAGGGGCCATCTGAGCAGTGCGAAACTTTTTTATTTGTATTCACTAAACTCGAAATTGTATGTAATTTTAAAAAAAGTAGCAAAATATGGACTATAATTGAAAATATTGAACAAAATTTTCAATTTTTTGATTAAATTTCAAAAATCCCAAGTGACGTTTCAAACGACTTCGAAATTGTATCCTCCTTCATTGCATCCCAAACCTTGATCGCTCGCAGATCATTGCCATGCGCTTCTCTTGAGCTGTGACAACCTTGGTTTCTTTGATCCACTCCGAGAGGCACATCTGCTTGAATGGACCCATGACACCGACGTCAAGAGGCTGCAAAACGCTGGTTGTGTTCGCCGGCAGTGGGTGGAGTTCCTTCTTCATAATCTTGTAGCTTCTCTTGGACACATGGGACTTCAAATTGTCGGCCAAGACCACAGTTGGGCAGTCGATGGCAGGCTTCAGAACTTCACGAAGGTACATGGACCAAAATCGCTGATCCATGTACGCCTTCTCTTGGACAGCATAGACAGGCCCAGCTGGGTACGTCGGAATCTCAAAGCGCTCGATATCACCCCCAGGTGTTCCCTTCACGATGATGAGCAGAGGCAGTTTCTCGCCTATACAAATCATCAGTATAGATCCAAAGCCATCACATACCGTTCCCACCACGAACGGACAACACTGCTGTCACGCGGTCGGAATGCTTTTGAGCCTCCAATACACGCGACGAATGGCCAACTTTCGCCAGGGTACGTCCTGGCGGCATGTCATAGTAGACCGGTGTCTCGTCAACGTTCATCCACGCTCGACGTGGCATTTGCCCAAACTTGTCCTGAAACGCAGCGGCGAGTTCGTCTTGAGTTGCAAGACTCGGTCGCTGGAGCACGGACCCAGGAGGGCATTCATCCGAAGGAACACACGGATTTGACGCACGGTGTATCTGCGTTGACGTCGCCGGGCGACTGCTCTCGGCCTGGTCATTTGCAAAATCGAGTTCAAGTCACGCAACGTTTGAATTGTCCAATCAAATTCAACTCTTCAAATTTGAAAGGGCCAATCACACTTCACTATGATTCATATGGGTGATTGGCTAAAATTGTCCTTAATTGCTTTGAATTGTGGAGGCTTCACAATTAAAAAAATATTGGCAGTACCACTGTGCGCGAGTTCCTACTCGGTTCTCTGTAGTAGCGCTTATTTGAGGAGCCATATACGACCATCGGGTGCCACCGCTTCTTCGCTGCTATCAGCTTACGGTTGAATCCTCGGCCGACGAGCTGGTAGAGCAGCTACAGGTCCTCTAACGTTACGGTGCGAACCGCACGGGTAGATAGATGTCATTATGTATAGGCCTCCTGTGTAGATGTGTCTTACAACACGACTGGTTTCGACAAGCGTCGAGTCTCAGAGCATCTCCACTCGTCAGACTTAAAGGTCTGATTTATACGGATAACCCATAGATAGGACCAATCTTGGACTTATACTCCCACCCGTGGTTTTATCGGGGTCTCAATAAGTCCAAACATAAGTTCAGCCCCGAAAATCCCTATCATAGGACTTTTTCGTCAAGATATCACCCTCCAGACCGGAAGTGTATTATAATCTAAAATAATATTCAAAAGTACTGCTCAACATAGTCAAATACAGTACAGAATGCAATCTTTATAATAATTCCCATTCAATTTACAATGATGGCCAACGAAGGCATACCTTGATAGAGAAAAGCGCCCGCGCATCATTCATACGGTGAGGCGCTGGTCAACTGCTTCCGCGGCGGCGCGTTTTCCGCCGTCCTCGACATCACGTTGTTCGTGGCGGGTGTGAGCATCTGCTGCATGCCGGGTTCACGCCCGTCATGAGTGCCACGAAAATCCCCATGCTCATGGTCGGGTTTGGCTCGTCGGTCGTGGCGCTGTTCGTGCAATTGGGCGGGGAATCTACACCAAGGCGGCCGACATCGGCGCCGATCTTACAGGGCATCCCCAAAGACGACCCGCGTACCGCGTCGGTGATTGCCGACTTGGTTGGATACATGGTCGTTGACTGCGTCGGGAGCAGCGCTGACGTGTTTGTTTGAGAGGGTCTCGGCCGAGATCATCGGCACCACTTCCTTCGGCAAGGAAGTCGCGATCGAGTCCCCCGTGTCGTTTGTGTCCTCTAGCGGCATCTTGTGCGTGACCGAGCCCCGACCAACCGAGTCGGACCCGATGACCACGCTCCAGCGCAGGTACCTGGTACTCGATCACTTTCTTGTTGGCGCTGGCGGGGTTAGGCCTGTCCACGCGGTGGCTGCTTTTCGCGTCTGCCGCGTGGTTGCACTTTTCCCTCGACACTGGTGACCTAGTTTCCTCTCTTATGCCAGTGGCGTCACGACGATGTTGGCAGTACGCTTAATCTCTACCAGTATACTGTAATGAAGCTCCACGTAGCAGTAGGTAATGCGAAAGCTCACGATTTTCGCGTCATCGTAGGCTCGTATTCTACTAGCGCACCCTCTATGCTATAAATGTTAACGAGTTTGGTCTATAATGGAATACGACGGTTGCGGAAGATGTAAATGCACTCATTACTATCACTTTCACTGTCCCTGTTCGTCCCGTGCATATAAGTCTGACGGATGGGGAAAATGAAACTATCGCTGGAATAAGCATAAGTCTCTCATTTATCCGAACAATATCCGTATAAAGCCTGGTCAAAACTCCCAACCGGTGGAGATGCTCTCATTGATGGCACGAACCGCCGGCGAGTGCGACAAGCGTGGAACACCGGGAACGGCCAACACAGCTGCTTGAGTTTATTCCTCGTCGGTCGCTGCCGGGTAAAGCCGTGCCGTTTGCAAAAGCACTGAAGAAGCTTTAGAAGTGAGCTGTAGGCAGCGTAGGGCTTCTTGGTAGAGAGGTAGTTGAACAGCCAGTCCCGTTGGTTCAGCTTGATCCACGTAATCATGTGTGTGGTGGTCAAAGCACGTTCGTTATCGCGTACACGATTTATGAACTCTACTAAATCACTTAGATAGGGGAATTCCTCGTAGAGGCCGCCAGGCACAAGCTTGTTGCACTTCTTGTTGCCGTCGTACGCTAGCAACTCGAAACGTTGGTGCTGCCAGCTGCGAATGGTATGTCGAGCGATACCCATGACTCGCGATATCTCGCGGCAAGACATTGTCTCGAGGAGACCAATGTCTTGGAGCTTCGTCCATACTACTCTGGTCCGAAATAGTTGCGGCCTTCATTTTGACTTGATTAAATTATGGTGCTCCAATCTAAAACAACCTAGTATTTCTATGTCACTTCAGAAACGAATAAATGTGGCCAAAAATATAATGTAATTTTATTCAATTGCCAAAAGACCCTGTTCTTGAGAATTCAGAAGTGTTTCCATGGAAGCCTCTTCCCCAAGTCGAAAGTTCAAATGGATCAAGGCACTCTCGTAGTTATACGCATCGCACTCAACGTTGAAGGCCGTTAAGTCCACTATCAACGCATCCTTCTTCATGCGAGGGAGCTTATAATCATTGCTATCGTGTATTTCGATGCATTTCTCCATCACCTTTTGACGTGTAACACAGGCAATTCATAAACGAGGTTTCCACAGCATCAATAAGGCCCTCGATTGTTCGAGTGCACTTTTGATACTGCAGACTTTGAATAGAGTTAAAAAATCATAAGTCTAGGACATTGAAGTCTGGGCTATTGGGGGGCTGGTTCTTCATTGCAATTCCGGACACGCCGCTCGACTCCAACATACTTGTCGTTAGGCATTTGTGAGGGCTGGCGATGTCATGTTGAATAATGACACCCGATCGCAGTGTAGAGCGGGGGAACTTGGACTTTATGGCCGGCACGACATAATTTAACACCATTTCTATGTACACTTTCGAGTCCACGGATTTTGGAGTCGTCACTATTGTGCCTTTTGCGCGATTCTTGGAGTTGCGTTTTGCAGGCAATTTTTCGACAAATGGCCAAAAAATCAATTTTGCCGTCAAATATGTTGCCGTTGAAGTCAACACGAGGGCGGGCAATCGCCAAAAACATAACTTTTGTTATAAATCGTTTAGACTTCAAAAAACGAGCAGCCACAGCTTCATCCTCGTACACATTAATCTTCCTTTTCACCTTTGTCAAATAGAACCATTTTTCGTCGTGTATATTGTCAAAAAAAGATCTCCATTCAACAAAGGTTGAAGGAAAGAAATAGATTATCTTAAATATTGCTTGGAGTCAAAAAATGCTTCACGTAACTTGAACGAGCCTTCAGCCGGGGACATTCTGCCATGTGCCGAAGCACCGTCGTCCTGGGAATTTGGCACGCATGAGAGAGAGCTCTCGTCGTCTGCCGCGAGGCCTGTGGCACTTGCCGAATCGTGTCTTCAACCTCTTCACCTGTGCGCGTTTTTTTGCGACCAGAATTGCCTAAAAAAGTACAGCTGCGTAAAATAATATTTTTGGAATTCGATAAATAAATAAATTCACAGAGGTATACCTCGGATTTTGGACGCAACATCGGCACAGATGTGGCCCTCGCGGACGGAGCTCTGCCCACGAGCCCATACGCGCTTCACAGTGTCCGGGTGGCAGTTATGCTGCATGGCCAGCTTGACAATGGCACCACGAGGCAGTATACCAGAGGACGAGACTGCAAGTAGGCTCTCGTAGATGGAACGACGCTCATCGTGGTCGTAATGCAGATTTGATTGACGTATTCCAAGTCTGGAGTAGCATAACTTTATCATATGAAGGAGTAAAAGTCCCCTCGATGACACACCCACCACTGTCAAATACCGTATTTTAGCAATAGCCAATCAAAACAAGCACTACAAAGGTTCCAAGCCAGCTAAACTTGTCGGACGTGAACTCCGATTGTTAGTGCGCGAGGCTTCCAAGACGGGATTATCCGCACGAAACTTCAAGACCAGCTTAGATATTGACGCCTCCCTTCGAACATGTCAACGTCATCTCCAAAAGACTGACACGTTGGCCTGCACGAAGCGAAAACACACGCCAATGCTGACTTCGCGGCACAAAAGCGCTCGGTTGATTATGCCAAGATGCACCTCATGGATCCACCATCGTGGGCCGATATTCGAACTGGCCCAAACGTTGCACGCAATAGCAATGGCGCGTTGCTTGATATTCGTTGATACATCGGTCCAGATGGAATCGGCACCTACATTTCGAATCGCTAGCGTGAAAGGCCGACGCACTGTCCTGTCGAGTGGTTGGAACAGGTGTGTCGCATTCTCCGGCAGAAATTGCAGCAATTCGTTCGAGGCTTTGGCTTCCGCGTAGGTGTATTCAGAGTAGTGCGACGAGCAGCCATCCATGATCGAAACAGGAGGCTCTGTTGACGGTGGAATATATGGAATATATGCGCGTAGCATGACAAGACACGTGCGACAGATTTAGGAGTTCTTCCACCCTTTTTCAGATGTAATAGCAGCGCCTGGGATTGTGAGAACTGTCACATGCTTCGGTTGACTCTCTGTCACCCGAGAGTGCAAACAGCGGTTGCATCTTCGTCCCATCTACGGCAATACATACAGTAGAACACTTGTTGCATGTGCGGAGGCAGCTATTTCCTTGGCATGCCGATCTCATTGACTGATGGACCACAACCTTCTTTGACGTGTTCAATAGAGAAAAGATGGTCTCGTCCATCCATGTTGACAAGCGACATGGAGTGAGCGTGATCATGAAAGAAGGCAATGATAGTAGTGTTGTCAACCGCATTGCGAGGCCTGCTTTGGGCCTTCGTGACCTTGAGATGAGGGTAGCGACCAAGGAACCTCTTGTATCAGCCGGTGGACAACTTCCCATGCATGAGGCGTATCACGTATCACGTACGAGCTCGAGCATCTGGGTTGCCTCCTGGACAATATGGCGACAGTTGATGGGGTGACCATATTTTTCCATTGCGAGGGTCCATGTGGCCAAATCCTCTTCGAACTGCCGCAGTAATGGCGGCGGTCCCATTGTCATGAACGCATTGGATGTGATGCGGCTTTAGCAAAACCCACATGTTTCCGAAGTGTCCGTTGCGAAATGTCGTATGCACTCGCAGCAGAATGTGATTGGGCTTTGGATAGGACTGCCTGGACGGCTGCTATCAGGGTGTCAACCGTGTAGGCGGTATTTGGTTGTCAAATCAAACTCGAAAATCTTTTAATATATATATTTTCCCAGCAATAAACTTTTACAAACATTATTGGCATGAGAGGTACTTTCTTGTTCAATAATAAAGCTCGAACGATTTAATTGGATGAAATGAATCGGCACTTCACTGGATATTCGTCGCATCACAGGTCGGTCACGTTAATAGTTTTCCTCTTGTGGCGGGTTGATTTCCTGCCGGAACTACAGGAGGCCTTGAAAAACGTAAAAGTCGAGCTGAAGTGGGAAAAACACCATAATATAGTGCTTTATGAAATTTGATAAGTACAATTTCACATAAGTATAAATAATGTAGCAGTTAACATTTTGTAATCTGCCATGAAATAACTCGACGAATGAACGTTTAGCGATCATGAGACTTCAAATGAACGAGTAAACTTACAGTTAAAACAATGCAGGAACACATCGTACACATTACGTTCTCTAATTTGAGCCTAAAAATTATGAGGTTGGGATTATATTTTATGTAGGTTTCGATTAGATTTTTAAATATCGACGAAACCAACGAAACGTTCCATGTCGAGGTACGATTTCGGGTAAATGAAGGCGAAATAAACGGATCTCAATACAGTACGTATTCGTTGAAAACCTGGAATGCTGCCTGCGGACAAATAGTTTGGAAGCAATTCGTCAAAGTTAATGCATGGTTTATCGAGGTCAAGTTAATATTTTAATTTGAGTACCGTCGATATTTTAACCCAAAATTCGACGAAAAGTAGAAATGTCGATGATTGATCATAATTCGATCCTTTGTCAGTCGTGCTTTCTCCTTCCACGTGACTATCTATGTGGATTTTGTTGTGTTTTAACCCGTCGTGTTTCACTCGTTTTCATGCACACGGATTGGACATTTTTCGGTATGTTTTGACTAATACAATTTGCCTATTCCTTTCATACAAATCTTCATATAAAGAAATGACGTGCTTGGGTGAGAGCGAAATGGGCCGCAGATGTGGCCGCTGCACATCCAGGTTCAAGCAGAAGCACTGAGGTATACGAGCTATAGGAGCGTGTAGAACGGATAGTGCCACAACTTTAGCACGTCTAGCTACGCATACTACGTCCCCACCGAGCTGTCCTGCACCAAGCTCACAGGATAGAGCCCTGCCATGCCGCGACCACGACATGGCACGGTACCCCCACGATGACAACATGGAGGTCGCCATGGAGGTCAAAAGGTGCGCTGCGGCGTATTGTTAGGAAGTATCTATGATAGATGGGTCACCTGTGCTGCCATTGACGAGAACATCTCCGTCAAAGTCGGCTTCAACCTCCATACGCGTGGTCCTCAAGGTTCGATGATGCTGAAGGGTATACAATACTGTAATCAAGTAAATCATTATCCTATCCATTTACTTGGAATACCCCAATCACGACCAAAGCATGACTCTTTGTCGTTCTTGAAAAAATTAATTCCGAAGTACGACAGAAACGATTCTGATTGGCTCCGTTCGTTTTGAAAAGTTACTTGGAAGAAGCCAATACATTTGTTATTGTGCATTTCACCCAAATTTGGATTTGGACTTGCGAATCATTTCGGCAAATTCCAATAGAGTCGATTTGATCCAATTTAATCTTGCACAAAGTGTACTATGCAATGATTAGTATATATCTAGTTTTGCCTAATACGGAGGGACTGAGCCGAGTCAAACGTTTGGATTGGCAGAAATCACCAGAACGTGATTTGATTGGCTTAGGCGGTACTTTAATACATGCGATTCTGCCAAGGGCTCCAGTTTCGAATCGATTTGACAATATTTGTTTACAAAATGTAATCTGCCTGTTTACAAATATTATACATTCGTTTTAAATTCTGACTTGTCAGTTTACCAGTAAAATATCATTAGAGCTCTTTCCAAGATTTGTTGTAGGTTAGAGTTTGAAAGTCAAACATGTCGCATCGCAGTAAATCTCACGTAATCTTTTTTGGCACTTTCGGAGTCCCCATGAGTTTGAGTTTGACACAAACCATGAGTATCTATTACTAATTGCTTCCAAATTGGTCAAATAAGTACACTTGACATCAAACTCAAAGTTCTCGAATTGACAAAATAATCCTATCTTGCATCATACTTAACGGTGGTCGACAGCTGTGAGGTGGCATTTGGACATAACGGTCTTTCGAAAACAATGATGAATTTTTTTTGATGAAGCGTCTGTAGCGTGAGCCGAGGGCTACAATGCACTCATTACACACATTCTTCGAATCATAATACTCTCGACAACACAATCCAAAGTTTTAAATCGCGTCAAATTTCATCCTATTACGCTATAACGTTATACTTTCAATATTTTACCTTCCAATGTGCATAAAAATATTTGGGTAGCCTCAGCATTACCAACGCTGACACTGCATATATTGTGTGACATGATGCCATGGTTGATGTTGAGAACGTGGTGTACACGACACCACATTCAACACCATCCATGGCCTCACGTCCCCCACAGCCAACTGACGCCGATTGCGCCATCGCCTATGCCAAGAAATCGCGTCCACGCCACGTCACACACCATGAGATGCTCGACATCATCTTGGTCAACGCCATGCTGCGCCAAGACGACACGCCCAGGGCAAGTCGAACCGCTGCCCGCCTGCTACGCCGCAAGCCACAGCTGGTCCAAGAGGTTTGGAAGGCCTTTTTGGTGGAGACCGGCGGCACGGTCACCAAAGCCGACCCGACGATGGAGATGTCCACCGGCACAAGACTCCCGACGACGCCCACCATCGTGAACACCATTCAAGATTTCGTCCGGCAGCGCCGCCAAGAACGCATCAGAACGGTGTCCAAGGACATGGCCCAATTCCTCCAGGCCCAGCCCATTTTGTGCTTCGACCGTGAGTCGAACCTTTCCACCAAAGCGGCCCTGCGGTCGACAGAAGGTTTCCTGGCCAAACTCGGCTAGAAGCGAGGGAAGTCGAAGAGCCTCGCCTACGGATGTGTGCTGTAAACATTCAACATCGTGATATATACAGTGCGCGCCACATGAATAGACCCACATACGTTTTAGTGGATAACGAAGGGTTGCAAATGGATCCTTGTGATTGGACGGTGATTTTGATATATGATTTACCGCCTTTTGTATTGCGGGTCGTCCAAAAACCCGTCAGATTCAAAAATTTCGATCCTCACTCCGCGCCAGAAGAATAGACCCAGTCAAATATATTGGCATTGGAGGTAGTAAAACGATGGCTTTAGTGACCATATGCAGTTAAGAGTGTAACAACGTTTAGAAGCAGAAAGACCAACAACATCGTCAACAACAATCGGCCACGGAGCACTCTTGAGTGAAATGCGGTATGATTTTGGCACTCTGGAGCCATGGCCTCACCATCCGTGCCGTTCGTTGCGAACGCGATTGGGTGGTCCACGAAGGCGGTGCGAACCGTTTTGGCCAAGAAGGAGAGGGCATCTCTCAGCAAGCGTGAAAACCTCAAACACGCGTGAACCCCCCAAAAATTGTTCAAAATACGCGACACGATTAAATACCCCAAAAAGCACGCGTGAAAAACCTACACCAGTATTCCACGCTGTAATCCTCCTCTACAACGGATGTCGGTAAGGGGACAGAGAAATAGTTAGCCATTGAAGATTGTTCTTCGAGGTAAGCACGGTGCTTTTGAAAACTTGTGATATCCCCCAAATATTAAAAAAAAATATTGTCTTGTGTTCACATTAATAATATATTAGCGACTCCTGCCACAATATTAACAATAGTTGCTTCACACACACTACCATTAGCATTCAAGTAGAATTTCACTAAATTATATCTAACGTTACACGAACGCAATAACATAAACAAAAATCGTAAGTCAAAAGATCATTTACCACCTAAGCAACAAAATTTACTACGCAATCGTCATCATTGTTTGCGATCGCAAGGCCACATGCTCTTGCGAGGTCTTCTTCTTGCGCTAAGGCATCGCGGCAACTGGAGCTTGAAGCCATCCGTGGTAGTCAACCGTGATAACTCGCCACTACTGTCAACGTTTTTCTCCAGGGAGTCTTGCGCATCTTCATTTGAGGCAAGAGAAGAACTATGTCACGAATAAACTCACGCATTGCAGCCAAGACTTATCCACATCGACTTCACGGGTAGCAGATGGCTTAAAAAGAGAAAAGCTATACATCGTCTTGTCCAACGAGATCAGACACAATTCCGTGCACACAAACGTATTGATGATGACGGCTTCTCGTGCTACCACTACAGACACGACCAGCTCATATCTCGGCCAATACTGGTCCATTTTCATTCATTCTTCGCCTGGTCCGTCCCACTGCTGAGAGACCTACTCAGGGGTGGGACCAGTACTGTACATGAATCCATGGCCTTGTTATCTCTCGGACGTGCTACATGACAGGCGTCAGTTATCACTACAGCAAAGACCAGCTCTATCACGACGAATACAGGTCCAAATTCACTCATTCTTCGCCTGGTCACACCGCTGAGCGATCTACTCAGAGGTGGAACTAGCGCAGACATGGGCCACCGACGTGCCACACGCTATGCAGCAGCCCCATCACTACAGACACTACCTGCTCTATCACGACCAATAATGGTCCAATTTCACTCATGCTTCGACTTGTCCCACCGGTGAGAGATGCCCTCAGAGGTGGGACCAGACTTGTTCACGTAGATATGGGGTCGCTTACCCATGGGCATGCTACACGAACCATGTTGGACATCATTATAGACATGACCTGCTCTATGTCGGCCTATTATGGTATAATTCGAATGCTCGTTAATGCTGTGAACTACCACTACGAACAATGGATAGAATGAACATCAAATTTCACTTGGCACCCTTGGATTAGAGGGCGCCTCCTTTTGGCAGCAGGGCTGGGGTACAACTTCGCGACCTCACCTTAGCGCTTCTTCTTGCTACTCTTACGACTATGTGCCTTAAACTTAGCTATGCATGAACTAAAATCGGGTAAGGGAATATGAAGGGCGCCGTAGATTGGCGTTTGAGAAGGAGGTTGAACCTCATCTCCCAGTTTGGAAGCGCTTCCCAAATCTCGTCGATATGCACATATAAGCATAAGCTACAGTCAATAAACAGAGTAAATAGACACGTTACCATCCGCTTATTTGATTCTTCATCGTCTCACGCGTCCATCAAATGTACAGTGCTTTACACCGGCCCTTCGGCGTCGGCATGGTGCTTCGCGAAGTGATAGTAGCCTGGTTGTGCGTGAGTGGAACTTTGTTGTCGCACAAGTTGCACGTGTAAATTGAGGCGACCTTGAACGCTGGCATCCTGGAAATGAAATTATGGCGAATGCCGTCCAAGGATTACATTGATATTTGATTGGCCTATAATTTGATTGGTCCATCTCATTAGGTGTGATTTACCAAAATTCTGTGATATGCGCAGGAAAAAATATTAAGTCGGGAGGTATTGATCCATGTACCTTGTGATTCCGAATAAGATACCAAACCACTGAGGTATTCCCCGTTTGTGAAGACATAATGCAACTGTGTGAAAGATGTGATAATTGATTTTATATTCACATTTCTACGATGCATGGAAGAATTCTTATCTCAACTGTGGATACACGCCCAAAAAACTCGAAGAATGTAGTTAAAATAATGTCACTGAAACATTTCCACTTCCAACGAACGCGTAGGTTGAGTTAACATGAACGTATCAAGGTGGCCCTGACATGCTGAAATTTTTGCCCAACTGAAGGAGCGGCGCAAAGTCATTGGTCGACAGAAAAGTGGAGACTGGGAGATGAAAAATCTTACCGAGCTTGAAGAGTGGGGTCAAGCGCATCGGTGCGACACCGCCGAGGCATTTTTTACCGTGGTGGAAGACTCACGTACGACAAGTTCATGGAGCAGGATGAAGAGTATTGATGTGTACTATTTTACATAAATATACTATGTGTTATATCGTTCACATACAGTATGTAGCCGCAGGCTGATTGTACTGGACGTCTTTGAAAGGACGTATGCCGATCAAGGCGACGACAAACCCTACGTTGGACTAGTGTTGTCCTCGCGGCAGAACATGTGGAATATATCATGGACCCACGAATGTCAAGGGTCGTCGTTGGCTATATCAACTGACGGAACGTACAAACTGCATTTTGGTAATACACAGCACGTTAGTAATTGCTAGCCACATTCAAGATTCTACTATTTGTTATCCTTTAGGTGGGTCGACTTTGACTTGGGTGCTGTGTATACTACGTACTCCAGAGGCTGCATACGACACAAATTTCTGCCATACACGTACCTGTTCGTTCGAGCGGAGTGCAAAGAGGCGTACTATAAACTCTTTGATATTACATCAAGTATATACACCACCTTTTTCAACAAAGACCTTGTCCCTGTAATTGCGTCGATTGACTACACCGGGTACATCCTGGCTGCGTTGACCTCGAACTGCCAACTATCCTCACCATATCGTGCTATATTCAATTGAAGCACAACGTGCGGCGTCACAAGCACTTGTTGATCAGCAATGACAACTACGACAAAGTCAAGGGAGATATCGAACGTATGTGGCTCGCACAGACGTGGCACCAATTTCAACCATTTCAACCACGTGCATGTGGATGTGGAGCACGAAACTCGGCGAAGCGACTTTTCGCAGTGGTTTTCCGAGAACTATCTCACTTCGCCCTGGGATCAGTGGTTTTTGACAGCGTCTGGATGTCCTGGTGTCGTCGCCCATCAACAGAACATTGAAAGCCACCACAAGGGAATCAAGAGAGTAAGTTGTTTCTTGAGAACGATTAAGAGCATACATTCATAATAGGCTTATGCACATGAGTTGCGGGTCTTGACCAGTGTGGTACTCCAACACACCATTCCCAGGGTGCTGGTGTCTGATCAAATCGCGACGGACACGAGTCCAGGACTTTGGGCAGTCTGCCCCATTTCAACAGAGGTCCTCGAGAAGGCATTGACGGTGTAATCCTCAATCAATCACCTCATCGACTCGACAAACACACACGTGCACATCACACTTCGGTTGCAAAATAAGTCGTAGTCGCGCAGAAATGTCTTGTACAATTCGCAGAATGGAATCGTCTTATGGTTGTGTTAGGTTTATTTACTCTATTGATGGTGATAATGTGGTCAGATCAATCGAAAAGACCATCAAAGATGTCCTCCTAAGTCTTCACGCAGTTGCTGTTAACACCGACGTCAATATTCGCGACGACATGCTCGCACTGACGCCATTAAGCTACGACGAGGTAGTCTATTGCACCAAGTGAGATATAATAAATGTGTAAATAGTGCGGCGCTATCGCGCCTGAATTATTCTTGCGATATTGTGTGGGATACTACTCGAGCAGCTGGCTTTGCTCGGACATAGTGGCGTGCTTGGCAACCATCGGTGGTTTCAACATTGATGCAAGGTTGCGGACATTGCCGCAGATACAACAGAACGGAAGGCCGCGACATCCACAAGGTGCTCGGTCTGTCAGTTGAGACTCCAGATGATTTTTTTTCGCAACAAAACCTACTGAAGCGTATATCGAAGTTGCCGTTGAGCATTGTGGGCTACAAGTGCTGCAAGGACTTCAAAGTGTGTTAAGATCAAGACAACGGCTCAAGAGTGTCGAGCCTTCACACTGCTATCGGTGTTGTGGTGTCGTACCTTCCACAGAAGAAGCGTTGGGCAACACAGTTCGAAGTCAATGGTGAACGCTAAAACGTTCGCTTCGACGGCGTCAAAGTCTCAAGTGTGAATCATGCTGCAGTGAATCATGCTGCATTCATCGGCGGCGTTGACGTGACAGGTGGGGTGCCTTATATGTGTAGTTGCTTGACCACATTCATTGTAATTGATAAAAACTCATGTGCAACAGCGGCCACGGGTGATGAGATGTGAGGGAGTTAGTGGGGGAGACAATTCTACGTGTACGGGACTTAACCTGCGGTAGCACTAGTCGACGAACGAGTTAAATTGCACAACTATTGGTGGACATATAACAGGTCATGTATAATGATCACCAACATGGTTAAAGCGAGCCCATGTCTACGTGAACAAGTCTGGTCCCACCTCTGAGGGCATCTCTCACCGGTGGGACAAGTCGAAGCATGAGTGAAATTGGACCATTATTGGTCGTGATAGAGCAGGTAGTGTCTGTAGTGATGGGGCTGCTGCATAGCGTGTGGCACGTCGGTGGCCCATGTCTGCGCTAGTTCCACCTCTGAGTAGATCGCTCAGCGGTGTGACCAGGCGAAGAATGAGTGAATTTGGACCTGTATTCGTCGTGATAGAGCTGGTCTTTGCTGTAGTGATAACTGACGCCTGTCATGTAGCACGTCCGAGAGATAACAAGGCCATGGATTCATGTACAGTACTGGTCCCACCCCTGAGTAGGTCTCTCAGCAGAGGGACGGACCAGGCGAAGAATGAATGAAAATGGACCAGTATTGGCCGAGATATGAGCTGGTCGTGTCTGTAGTGGTAGCACGACGTGATGTCGTCGGCACATCCATGAGGAGGTATGACTGTGTATGTGTGTACGGGACTGGTCCCATCTCTGAGGGACATTCTAAGCGGTGGGACTGGTCGAATAATGACTGGAATTGGCCCCGACGTGCGATGATCGCCGACACATGCAAGTAGCATGTTTGTATTAGATGTCAAAATTGTTCAATAAAATAGCATTGCATCTCAAAATATTTACACGCCCAAGTCCCCGATTCCATACAGTTTTTATTGAAAAAACACGCGTAATTCCCCCACTTTTCATAATACGCGTAAAACCCCCAAAAAGCAAGCCTGAAAACACTTTTTCCGTGGGATACTAAGCGGATGAAGGCGCATTTGGTGGTGATGAAAACAATACGTTGCAGGCCACAGGGGAGGAAAATTGTAAAATGAAAAACTAAATTTGCTAGGTACATCTAAAAAGTCCTCAATTCATACATGATTTATACTTGATTAAGGTAATAAATTGTGTTCGAACTTCATTGGCTTAAAACATAGATCAGAACATGATGTCAGAATCGAATGACTGACCCAAGCGTGTAGTATGTCCTGTAGTGGACTACGAGGACAAGTTCGTCGCGGATACAGTCACATTACACTAATGTGCACTTTACTAAGAACGCATTGATTACCCCGTACCGTTCAAACATGTTCGCGAATATGTGTGATGAAGACTACGACGCTTACACATGACGCACGGGCATAGTGCTCCACTCACCGCCGCATTTTCAACGTCCCGCAGAATCCTCTGATTTTAATATGATGCGCGAGCACAATATCTCGCTTGATGTTACTATCATTCTTATGTCGGACTCCCTTCTCAAGAAGCGTGGTGGGGATGTCTGTCACTTCTTTGTGGACCATGCTCTGCGTTGTGCCACGGAACAAGAAGCGACGGAACGCCAAAACGATGAAGTGGAGCCGCCCGTTCCAACGAAGCCGTCGACGTCCAAGCAAAAGGCAGCCAAGCGCAAAGTGCTGGCAGCGAAGCGTAGTGGCTAAAAGTAGCCAATGTAATCACACTTTAACTTGGAGATTTTTTGACAATTATTGGTAACCATGAACTATAAATTGATAGGGCATACTAGTATAACCTATTTGTTTAATATCATACTAGCACCTAGCTTATGCATACCACTCTCGTCCACTAAAAGAGGTCGGTTTGTACGGTTTGCATTTGGATTGGCAGAATTTTTTTAACCTTGCGTTTAATTGCAATTTAATTGGCTTACCAAATAGCGCTAAATCTCCTCTTTGATTGGCTAATTTGATTGTGTTCCAGATCGTTATACCTCAAAAGTTAGAGCGGGGAGAAAACGTTGCTCGTTCTCGCTACACAAATATAGACCCGCTGATAAAGCACAATTCAATTTTACGTCTCGTGCCTATTACATGGCTTGCTCCCTAGTCGTCGTCGTGACACTTGTACCAATGCCAAAACCTACAACTCCGCCTAAGCGACAAGCACAAGCTCTCCGGTCTGCAGCATCGCGCCATCTACGAGAAGCTGCGTGGGTGCAGCAACAATGGCCAGCTCGCCCATGGGGAGTACACAGTCTCCGCCGCCACCTTCACGTGCCACTGGAAGATGGTCACTCGCATTTGTAAGCGAGGACAGAGTATCTCCGTCATGGCAGCGTCTTTGCCGTCGTCGACGCCAAATTTAAAGATAAAAACTCTACATTTCGATATTTATAAACTGTTTCATCAATTTGTACAAGTATAGATTTTAACAATTTTACTATGATAGGGAATTTGGGGCCGAAAGTGCAACGCTCCCCGAGCGACATCAGGGCCGCCGTCAAGGCAGTACCATTGGTGGCCCGCCAGATATTGCGTTCTGTGGCAGAGCACTCTGGGGTCCCGAAGACCACCCTCGTTCGACACATGGCGGAAGAATACCAACTGAAGTGCAAGTCAAGCTACTCCAAGCCGTTTCTCACCGAAGACAACGAAAGAAGCCACGTGAAGTATGCAATGTCTTTTCTTTTTCATCCGTAAAAAAATCATTTTTCCAAGATACACAACTTTGTGCATGTTGATGAAAAGTGGTTTTTTTGACGACTGTGAAGAAGAGATATTATCCATAACGTAAACAATCAATTTAAGAGATTCAATCAATTTAAGACGTATGTGCAAGAACCAATCAAAAGTCGTAAATTTTTCGCGGCATAACCCGTGCAAATTTATACACTTAGCGCATTTGAAAAACATTTTGCCGCCTTTCCATGCCAGGACCACTTCGTCGCGGCCGATACTCCTTGGAGGAGCTGCAACAAGCCGTTCAACACGTTGTTGACGGTGAAAATGGCAGGACGGTGTCAAAGCAATCACGCATCCCATACGCAACGTTGATGAAAGCGGTTCTACGGGA